GCTTTCATTGCATTTACAGTAGATGTTTTCAAATCTTTGCTGAGTGTACCAGGTGGGCTTGCTCAGAGCCACTATCTAGTGACGGCTCCCCCTGCCTCAGCCCCAGGTAAGAGTCGCATCTTGTTACTTCAATGCATGGCTTGTAATTTGGTTGTTGTTGAATACTCGACGTGTTAGATAATACAGCTACGATAGATCCTGAGGCCCCTCCCCCGGGGGCTATTGTTTGTTTTATATTTTGGGCTTTTGGGGGGTTTTTTTGCTTATCGTTTATTTGTTTAATGACATTCCTAGAATAATTCTGTGGAGTTTGTTTGCCACATGGTGGGCAGTCACTGATGTTTGTGTTCAGTTTGGTTTCTTATTTCTATGCGTGGCCTTCTAGCCGTCACCTCTATGTCAGCATGGCTTAGTCGTCAGCCAATTATTGGTCAGCACTTGTGCTCAAACATCGTGAACCAGTAAAGATTTCACGCTTTGTCAATGAATCTGCGTAAGGGTTGGGAAACAGGTTCAGGGTTCAGACAGCTCACAAATCTACGCTGGTTTGATTTGATGCCAGGTGCTCCCCTGTCTCCTTTGTTGGTAGACCAGGCCTCCCCTCCAGTTAGGCATGAGTCAATACTGGACCCCTCTTAGGGGTCATTCAGATAACCTTGCCCAGGTACAGTCTTTCCAAACACCAGAGCTATGTGGGAACTTACCAAGGCCCACAGTGGCTGTCCCATCCCACAGGTCTTCCATTAAATTCTAGCCAGGGCACCACTCGGTTTCTTGTGCTAATCAGAACAGAAGATTCTGGCTAGCTACAATTTGGGTCTGGCCTCATCTTTTGTCCCTAAGATATTACTACTCCTGAGAATATCAAGAGTTGTTCTGTTTTGATATTTTCCTATCCTTCACTCCAAATCAAGGTAGTCCCTTCCCACAGCGAAGATTTAGTATTCATTGCTTCCACCGCCCCGACAGAGGCACCGCAGAGAGCTGGGAGTGGGCGATGGGAGAAGACCCAGGTGAAAACATCACAGAATATGTCTCTTTTTAACCCAAGATTCCGTAGTTTGTTGTTGTTCTTTAAATAGACTCTTCTCTGTTTTCTTTTCTAAGCTATATGTAAAGAGCCCTAATTGCACAGTGGTTAAACATTTGGCTGCTAACCAGAAGGTCAGTGGTTTGAATCCACCAGCTACGTGGTGGGAGAAAGGTAAGGCAGTTTGCGTTCACGAAGGTTACAGCGGGGAGACCGTGTGGGTCTGTATGAATCAGGGTAGACTTGATGGTGGTCAGTTTGGGGAGTGCCGTGTTTGATCTCCAGCCTCATGAAGGGTTTGTTTGGGGTTTTTTGACCATTTTGTCCAGTTTACCTTTACTTTGGGTGGAGACGATGTGTCACACTCCTTATTCTGTCATGCTAGACCACAGTTGTTCGCTTATCTGTTTGTATTTCAGGAAATCCTTAAACTCGCCATTTAATTTTTGAATAGGAAATCCGTTGCATCTATTTTATATTGAAAACCGTGAGAGGTTGTGAATGGAAGCATCTTCCCACAACTCTGGTGTCCCCTCCACCCAGCGCCCAGCTCCACGCTCAAGCCCCTCCTACAGGAGTAGTTTCTTGTGTTTATTTCCAGAAGCCCTGTCAAGTGAGCAGTAATTAGACTGCTAACGGGAAGGTTGGTGGTTCAAGCCCACCGGCTGATTCCTGAGGGAACGTTGATGCTGTATGTGCCCAGACGCTTCACAGGCTCAGGAGCCCTGTATTGGGCTGCTCTGAGTCGGAATTGAATGAATGGCAGTGGTTTGGGGGGGTTTGTGTTTATTCTTAGAACTTTAGAATTTATTTATGTGATATAAGTATGTGTTTTGTCTTTCTCTGGACACAAAAACCGTGTGTCTCTGTGTGTCTGTGTATGTGCACACACTGGTCTATACTTTCTCTTTCAGATGACAGGGTATCTGGGAGATCTTTCCCACTGACTAGTATAGTTTGATAGCTGTCTATTTTATTAAACCAGATCCCTACTGATAAAACTTCAGTTACCACGATTTCCTTTCAAACAATGCTGTAATATATTAATCATCTTACTGATAAGTAATTGATAAGTAATGTGTGACTTTATGTGATTGGTAAAGACCAGAAATACAGGAATCAGTTCAAGGCAGTGAACAGTCCCGTCACCCCTCCCCTCCCACCCACCTACCCGCCGGAGAGCCGCAGATCGGCTTTGCGCCCTGTCACTGTAAGTCGGTTTGTACGTTCTTGTGTTTCACGTCAGTGGAGTCATCCCGTGGGCTCTGCCCTTCCAGCCTGGCTCCTTTCACTGTGACTAATATCTTTCAAGACTCATCCAGGCATCAGTACTTCCTTCGTTTTCATTGCTGTTGTGTGGCGATACCACACTGTTTGTCCAAGCTCCTATTGATGGGTACTGGAATTATTTCCACTTGGGGGCCATCACAGATATGCACAGCCACGGACAAGTCTTCTCGTGCGTAGATCCCTATTAAGAGAAGGCCTCAATCCGAAAAGACAGGTAGATTTTAACTTTTTAAAGAAACTGCCAGCCTGTTTCGTACCGTTGTAAAGGGTGAGCAGGCATGTTTTCGCCAGCAGTGAGCGTGGGCTCCGGTCCGTCCACACCCTCGGCAGCACTTGGTAGGGTCGGTCGGTCCATCTCAGTCCTTCTGATAGGGAGGTGTGGGTGGTAGGTAGTGGGATTTCATCGTGGCTCTCCTTGACGTTTCTTCCCGACTAGCAGTCCAGAGAACCTTTTCGTGGAATTTGCCAGTCATCTGTCTTTTCTGGTGAAGACGCTTGTCCGTTTTCATGAAGTTATTTTCTCATTGTTTAATTTTGAGCTTTGAGACATCCCTGTAAGAATTCTTGGATCAGTAAGTCTCAAGTTTGTCTCCAACTTGGCATCTTTCCAACCGTTCTGCAGCCTCTCCCTTCCCTGGGGACCCCAACTACCCAGGTACCAAGTGGCTCGAAGTCCTCTTTTCTCCTTCTTTTCCTCCTCCTCCATGTTGCATGTCAGATACTTTCCCTAGTGAGGTTCTCAAGTTCACCAACAACCCCTTCGGCAGTGTCTAATCTGCTGTTGATCGCATCCAGCGTCCTTTTCAGCCCGCGCATTGTAGCTTTCATTCTAGCAGCTCGGCTCGCTTCCTCTGCCGCCTTCAGCACCTCCTCTTCTAACTGCCTGCACTGCACCGTACCAACTTTTCAGACGTGCTTTGCAGCTCTTTCTAACATCTGCGTCTGTTCTGGTTTGGGTTTAACTGGCCGCCTCACGGGCCTCCCTTGCTGCATTCTTTGCATGCCTGGTCATCTTTAATTGGGTGCCAAGACACTGTAAAGTCTACCTTGTTAGGTGCTGGGTATTTTTGTATTCCTGTATAAATATCCCTGAGCTTTGTTCTGGGCCACAGTTCAGTTACTTGGAGACGGTTGGATCGTCCAGGTCTTGCATTTCAGGCTTGTTAGGCCGCTCTGGAGGCGTGCCCGGTGGAGGACTAATTACGCCCCCTGACAAAGGCAAGACCCTCGTGAGTGTTCCGGTCGGTTGGTGCCGGTGAATTCTGAGCTTCCCCAGCCGTGCCCGGCCCTGTCTGCTCTCCTGGCCCTCCTCCCTTGGATCCTCGGAGGCAGTTGTGTCCTGGATCTCCTGCGGTTTCCCTCACGTTCCTGTGCTGACCTGTTATCTGCTGGATTCAGGAGGGGGACGCCCCCCACCCCCCCACGGCTCTGCCCCGCTGTGCTTGAGCTCCGGAACTCCTGCTGTGTGCCTCGGTCTCCCTAGCCCCTCAGCCATGTTCTCAGTGTGAGGGGGGTGTCTTCTGGCTCTGCCTCAGTTTCCCTCTCTGTACCGAGGTCTCGGCAGCCTCGCAGGGCAGTGGCTGGGTGCTGGCACACCGAGTGACCCCGTTCCTTTCCCATCCTTTCGGGGATGGCTCTCCTCAGCCGCCTTCTGTTCAGGGTCTTGAAAGCCGCGCTTCTGTCCCCCGTGCCCACTTTAGCCGTGTCACGTGGGAGGGGAGGTCAGCCCCAGTGACCCCCGTCTTGACCAGACTAGGAGGGTAACCAAACCACAGCCAGTTATTCACGCGCCCATGCCCAGCGCTTAATCGCTGCGCCATCTGGACTCCCGTTTCGGGCCGTGGGTGGGACCTTTTCCTTCCCCGTGGCTGCCCAGTGTGTCCTCGCTTCTCCCGACCCAAAAGACAGAGAAGGCTGGATAACGAATGACCTGCCCTGAGAGCGGTCGGCGATGCCTGTTGGCCTTGCCTTCCCCACTGAACTTTGACCCTCATAGAGTTCCTGTGGCCTGGCCTGACACTGGGGGCAGAGGACACAGGCTCTGGACACTCACCGTCAGAAGCAGCCCCTGGAGTCTGTGACCCAGGCCGGAACTGGCCCCCTCCCCTGGGAGCTCCTCTGGGCTTTGTTCCTTTGTCTGAGTGTCCTGTTTGCAGAACCCGGCACACCCCGAGCCCAGGTTCAGCTCAGTGGATCTGCCTTGCTGGGGCCGGGAGTTCCCTCCCTCTCCTTCCCCTGGGCACGCTATCCCACCTCTCTCTCTTGGTGCAGCCCAGCAGCTCCATGACGCCTACCTGCCCCAGCAGGGTGTAGAAGGGTCTGTGTTTGGAGACCGTCAGGGACAGTGGACAGTGGTGTCCAGGTCTTGGGATGCTATCGGGCCTCAGAGCCAGGAGTGGCAGGGCTGGACGCCTGCACCTGGTAAACTGACCCTGGAAACACCCGGTGCTTACTCAGTACCGTCTACTGGGCCCTGACAGTGTGGTCAGTCAGGCTGGGGCCAAGGAACCTGGTCAGGGAGAGGCCTTCCAGAGAGAAGAGCCAGGGCAAGAGGCAGCGCTGGGGACCTGAGTCCCAAAACCAGAAATTTGGAGTGACCTGTGCTGTTTAGGCCAGGGGCCAGGGGTCTGTGAAGTGGCCAGTTCCCCAGTGGACTGAGGATGGGCCTTCTTTCTGGAAGGTGAGAACGGCCGGGTCCTGGGCATCTCGGCGGGCGTTCGGTACGTGCAGCTCCCGACCTACTCCGACGTCAGCTTCTTCCAGGTGGACGCAGAGCACCAGGAGACGCCCACCCCAACACCGTTGTGAGTGATGCTGCCGGGTCTGGGCAGTGGCCATGGTGGGGCAGCATGGGCTGGGAGGGGGATGCTCTGGAAGGTGGCTGTGCCCAGGGCCTCCCCTCACTCGTGCAGCGAGTGACTCCCGATGGCAGTGTGGAGCAAGCAGGTGCCACATGCAGTTGACCAGAGCCCTACAGCCAGCCCCAGCCCCTGAGACAGCACATGTTCACATAGAGCCTGGGCCTCCAGGACCCTGAGCAACCTGCTCCTGACCAGCTGCCCTCTTCCCACCAGGCCCACCTCCTTCCTCCCCTCCCCCTTCTCCCCTGCGTCCAGCCTGTCTCTGCCCCTCCCTCCTCCCTTAGCTTTTTTTCTTCCTGCTCAGAGAGGCCCTTCTTTACCGCTCTGCAAACCCCACCCTGGAACTGGGGAGGGAGGTGGACCATCAGGCTTGTCATGGCCAATGTCACCTTCACAGAGCGGGTGGGCACCATCTGAGGCCAGCAGGCTGGTCTTCCCAGTGACGATGCCTGTCCTGTCTCACACTCAGCCACTCTGGCCCCTTGGGACACACGCCATTGTGTGTGTGTGTGTGTGTGTGTGAGAGAGAGAGAGAGAGAGAGAGCTCCTTCCTGAGGATGAAATATGAAAGGAGTTAGGATGACCAGAAAATGCTTTTCAGGGTAAAATTCCAAACTCAGGTGAGTTTGTTTTGAGCTCACCTGACTAAGACCCGACCCCTCTTCCCCTTGTGTCCCAGTCGAGCTGCTCCGAGGGGTAGCCCAGGCAGTGACTCTCAGAAGTAGACTGCCAGGCCCGTCTTCCAAGGTGTCCCAGGGTGGATTTGAACCAACAGCTTTTCGGTTCACAGCTGAGCATATTGACTGTTTCCACAGCCCAGGGCCCTCAAGCCTATTTAGCGCTATAATGCCAAGCGCGACGTTTTCATAACATTTAATTATAACATTTAGTTATAACATTTATTATAAATCCATGGACCAATGTGACAATTTGGTTACGTTTAAAAAAACATTGCAAATTTTATATTTTTAAATATATTTTGGTTGTTATGTATATTGATAACTATGAAAGTAAAGAATAAGAACAAAACATTGCATTTCCTGAGATTAAAAATTCAGGCGTTACAGGGTTAGGACCGATTTCTCCTTCTCCCCCCAAGGAACAGAGCTGCTCGGTCCGGTCGGGCAGGGATATTTGATGCTTCTCAGATAGAAGGGAGGAAACGGGTCTCAGGTTTCAGAAGCTGGCACCTCTGCTGGCCCTCAGAGCTCTGAGGTGGAGGCAGGGCCTGAGCCATGGAGAGGCCAACCTCAGTGCCACTCACAGGCAGCACTCAGAACCCAGGGAACAGCCGGGCAGCCAGGGGACCCTCTGTGCTCTCTGCCAGGGGCCCAAACCTTCTCACCAGCCACGAGTCCAAGCCCCTGGGGAAGATGGGCTGCGGTGGCATCGTTGAGAGCAGCGCCTGCCCTTCCCAGCCCGGAGACCCACCCTCCTCCTGGTTTCAGGTGATTGCCTGACCCCAAGCCTGGCTGGGCAGGAAGCATCCCAAGACACACTGCCCCACTGGCTGGCCCTGGGGTGACCTCCTCTGTCCAGCCCCAGGCCACTGTGCCCCTCCCTACCCGCCACCCCCTTCGGGGTCATGGGATGGGAAATCCAGCCCTTCGTTTCCCTCCACAGTGGGTTTGAGTGCATCACTTACCCTCTGTGGAGCCCTGCATCCGTGTCCACGGGGCTGGAGCTCAGGGCGGCGGAGGAAAGTGCCGGAGCTGACCCGCCCCTCCCCTCAGCCAATGTGCAGCCAGTGCCAACTGGGGACACCCTGCAGGACCAGGAAGATGGCCCCTGCGACCCCCCTGGTGAGTGGATATGATGGCTCAGGAAGGCTGGGCAGCACAGGCTCGGGGTTCGGAGTAACGTGGGAAAAACCAGCTGCGCACTTTGGTGGAACGCACAGAGACCAGCAGGCCTTGTGCGGCGCACAGGGGCCTTGAGAGGACGCTGAGGGTACAGGGGCAGGCGGGGCGGTGTTCCAAGGAGCGCGGGAGGCACACTGGTAAAAGCGCTTGGTTGCTAATGGAAAGGTCAACGGTTTGAAGCCACCAGTCTCCGTGGGGAGAAGAGGCAGCCGTCAGCATCCATAAGGGTGGCAGCCTCGTTCTGAAAGCCAGTGCAGCAAAAGGCAGCAGCTGGGTGCATAATCTCCGGGGCCGATGGCGGGGAGGTTGGGGGTACAGGGGACCTACTAGATGATGAAGACAGCGTCCCACGATGGTGACACGGCTCGTAGTAATGCATTCAAACCGCTGACTTGTGTGGGACTGGGGCTCTCCACCCGTCAAGCGGCTTAAACACAGTAAGAAAGCGGATTGCAGTGCGAGCCAGGCTAGGCCAGGGCCTCCCTGTCCTGTCGCCAGAATGGATTTGAGAACCGTAGGTTGGTTTTGGTTTTGGTAGGGGCGGGGGAGGCTTGGTAGCAGAGACATGCAGCTCCGTGCTGGCTAGTCCCAGGGGACGGGTCCATGCTGCAGTCATGTGGTGCCCTGGAAACTCCTAGCATGGCCATGAGCCCCCAGTTGACATCGGTTGATTCTTGGTCCAGCCTGAGCCTGACAGTGGGAGGCTCCTGTCCAGAGCATCAGTTGTGGCTCCGTCAGGCTGAAGCTGAGCCTGGGTGGCCCACCAAGGCCACGGCCCGTCCACCCCAACCCACTGCCTTTTGGCCCTGGGGTGCCCCCCTTTCCAGATAACTCCATCTGGGCACAGCCTCTGGCCAGCAGCCCCAAGCACGCTGAGGACTGGCCCCCAGGTGGCGGCGTCTGGTCAGTGTTCCTGGGGGAGACCAGGCCCTGGGCCCAGCTCCTGTAGCCGGTGCCAGTCTCGCCTCGCCCAGACTGTTCCAGAATGATCACGTGAGCCGGGCGCCGAGGCTCGGAGTTGAATCAGAGTTTAATCACTGCCATTATTGTGTTCGGGGATGTGGCGTGCTCCCATGACAAAGACGTGGTTGGCATCTTAACGCCGGGAACAACCTTGATGTGCAATTGGCGGTGGGGGCGGAGGCATTGGTACCCTGCATCACTCGCTCAGGGAGGGGTTCTGGGAGAGGGTGGGGGTCACAGATGGATTCCCAAAGTCAGAGCCGGGCACCCTGGAAAGCCCATCTGATTCTTTCAGAGGTGACAAGGGAGTGAGGGTGTTCATGCGCAGGGAGTGGGGGAGGCCCTGTGTGCTTTGGGGCTTGGTGCCATTGCACACGGATGTCTGGAGAGGACGTCACGGGGCCTGCATGTACCACCACACAGGGTGGGATGGGGGGGGATCCAGGCCCGGGTGCTGGGTTTACAAGGTGCGTGGGACACAGAGCAGGAAGGTCCGCACTGCCCACTGGATGTCCAGGTCCAACTGAGCAGACAGAGAGGGTGGGGAGTAATGCGCATCCCCCAGGGGGGCTTGTAGGTGAGAGGCTGGCCAAGACGGCCTTTGTCACCCCAAGTGTGCTTAGCTCTAATGCCCCTGCCCCCTGGACACCCAGGCACCTGCTGTCGCTCTAGGAAGCACCCGGAGTCCCCACAGATGAACTCACCCTGCCCTCTTCCCGTGCGGGACCAGCTCCCAGAGCCTCCCCACAGGCTGGTGTGGAATGCCCGCGGCTGGGCTGGGACCACCCACAGACTCACCCAGCAGGGCTCCGACGGGTGGCCCTTCTCTGAGCTGGTCATGGCTCTTCTATGACAGCCCATGGAAGCCCACCTTCCCGGAGGCTTGGAGGGACACGCTCCTGTACAACCAGCTAGGTTTGAAGAAAGACCCTGAGTTTGGCACCCAGCTCTGGGCACCCCTCAGTGGCCCTGCTGGAGCTCCACCTCCCTAGCCCGGCCCAGGGAGCCCACTACACCGAGGGAGCAGCCCTGAGAGGTGGGGTTGCTGGTCTGTTTTCTCTGGAAAGCCTGGGCAGGGAGGACTGCTCAGGAATGCCCGCCCTCCTCCTCCCATGTGTAGGGCCAGCAGCCAGCCAGGTAGGTCTGGTTCAGGAGGGCACTGCTAGATGGCAGGCTCTGGGGCTTGTGGGGGCCCAAGGCCCATCTACCAGGCAGGACCAGTCCCCCATCCCCTTGGGAAGAATTGCCATAGCAACTGGATCATTGGTGACCCCAGGCCCCAGGCAAAGCACCCCTGGACTCACTAAAGCTGTGCGCATGAGGTAGCTGTTCTAGGACACACGTGTGGGAACAAACACACAGCCATGACCAGACTTGGCAGGACTGGGGTGGGGCGGAGTCCTCTCTTGCTTCTCGTCCCTGCCTTACTTTCTGTCCCGGACCCTGGTTTAAAGAACGGGGTTCGTCTCCTCACAGTTCTGGAGGCTGAGTGTCGGCCGGGTGGAAGGCCTGTGCCCCTCGGGTCCTGGACAACCCTCACAGGGCCTTGGCCTTCCCCAGAAGTTTCTCACTTCCAGGTCTGATCGCCCTCTTTAAACTCACAGGGATGGGCTTCTGGCCCACCCTGTCCTGATCTGCCCTCCAACATAACAAAGAGCCCCCATCCCCACAGGGGTCCCTTCCACCCCATAGTGGGTGAGGCCTCCAGCGACGGGTGGGTTTTCAGGGACACCGTTCATAACACACCAGGATCCCCTTGACAACAGATGACCTGGTCTTTTGCCCGTCCAGTCAGTAGTGCCTTCTGTTCCTAGAAGGTTCAGAGTGAACTTCGCCCCCATTCTCTTCTGAAATGCTCCCTCCCACGTCATCTTCAGAGCTGTGGCGGTGTAGCGGTCATGCATTGGTGCTGCTAACCTCAAGGTCAACGGTTCAAAACCACCAGCCTGCTCTGCAGGAGAACGATGAGGCTTTCTGCCCCCGTGAAGAGTGCCACTTCCTGTGAAGAAGTGCGGCCAGAGGGGTCCTAAGAAGCCAGGATGGTGAGACTTCATGTCACACACTCCGGACATGTTGTCGGGAGAGACCAGTCCCTGCAGAAGGACCTGGTGTCGGTAACGTGGAGGGACAGCGAAGGGGAGGAAGGTCCGCAACGAGATGGGTTGGCACCGTGGCTGCAGCGATGGGCTCGGGCACCGGGAGGATTGCGAGGCTGGTGCAGGGCCAGGCAGTGTTTCGAGTGGTTGTGCATAAAGTCCCTATGGGTCAAAAGCCACTCGGTGGCACCTAACATCATCATCGTCTCCACGGGGTCCTTTCTCCAGAGACATGAGCGGGACACCACCTGGACGACCCCCTAGACACACGCACACACATTCATCCTGCCCTGCTCAGGGCCATGAGCCCACTAGTAACTGTCTGTCCTCCCTTGGGAGGTGGTAACTGGCCTCTACAAACAATCAGGATGCCCCCAAAGAAAGCCATTCTGTTGTGGTCAAAATTGCATTTAGTTGTAGGTAAGAGAGCCCCTCACAGTAACCATGGCGGGCATGTTCAGGAAGCCCAGTGCCAGCTCAGAGCTGGGAGGGACTGGCTCCTTCACTGCCAGTCTATTAGCCGTCACCCCACCCACAGTCCAGTCCGAAGCGGAGTCTAGAGTAAGGTGACCAGATTTAAAGCAGGACACCATTGACCGGGGAGGGGCGGTGTTCTTGATTAAAAATTTGGTCTATATGGACCAAATACACCGTTCCCTAGCTTGTCGTGCATTCTTTCCAAAAACCAGGACTGTCCCGCCAAATGCGGGACGTCTGGTCACCTTAAAGATCCAAGAGGAAGGCCTCATCTATGCCCACAGCTCCCCTGGCTGTGAGGGAGACTGGGCAGGGTAGGGTTGACCCTGGAGGTCTGGGGACTGAGCAGACACGGGGTAGTGCCAGAAGGGACCCTAGAGTCAGAGAGTCTCAGGGGTCAAAGTGGGCAGTGCCCTCCTAGCTGCTGTTCCTCCAAGAAAATGACCTCACATGTGGGCACCTGGGCACGGGCACCTCTCACAAGTTGTCTTTGTCCATTATTCCGAACGAGCTGATCAGATGCGCCGTGACCAGACAGCTGTCCCACGGGGTGATGAATCAGGAAGCTTCTTCTAAGAGTCAGCCAACTTGTATATTCTCAAAGAAAGAAACCCCTCCTCCTCCTCCTCCAAGATCCTCCCTCCCTGCTGGGTCACGACCCCGTCTCCCTGCAGTGGCCCTGAGCTGCCGACAGCAGCTGTGCGGGCAGAGTGGCAGGGTAGGGCGTGCCTGTGCTAGTGCCAGCATCCAGTGCCCACCTCTGCGTGTACCGGGAGCAGGCCAGGAGGAACCAAAGGCTGCCAAAACCTGCTGAGGTCACACTGGTGTAGGCTGGGGCCTCGTCCCACCCAAGTGGTGTCCCATAGAAGAGAAGAGGCTCAGCTCAGGCCACGTCACAGAAGAGGCAGAGGCTGGAGTGATGTGTGTCAATGAGTCAGGGGACAGCCGGGGGCTCTCAGAGGCTAGGGGACAAGGCAGGACCCTTCCTGGAGCCTTCCCAAAGGGTCTGGCTCTGCCTCCAGGTTTCTGTTGTCAGATGCCACGGAGAAGGAAACCCTGCCCAGCCCTGTGCCCGCCTCACCATGGTCTCTGTGCCCGAGCCCATGGGCGCAGCCCCTGTGTCCGTCCACCCCATCAAGGCTCTTCCTCTCTGTTGCTGTCCCTCCACCTCACCAAGCATGACGTCCTTCTCCAGGGACCGGTCTCTCCTGATCACATGTCCAGCGTCTGTAAGTCGAAGTCTTGTCATCCTTGGCTCTAAGGAGCACTCTGGGCTTACTTCTTCCAGCACAGATCCGTTTGTCCTTTCAGCAGTCCGTGGTACTCTCCACATCCTTCTCTAGCACACAGTCCGATGCATCGGCTCTTCTCCAATCTTCCTTATTCAGTGTCCGACTCACACAT